CCATTTTACATGTATTTTGGAATATGGGAGTACAATCTCACAATTATCTACCATCATCAGACAAATTCTCACCAGTACTTGTTCTGTACATTCACGGACGTTTCGAAGTGAGTCAGAACTCTTTTAAAGCTGCAGTCTGCTTCAGAATCTCCCAAACACGGTTTTCTGAATCCACACTGTMAAAAATGTCACCTCAGCACATCAAAAACCTGCCACTGATTTACTTTATATCCAGTTGTTTTCCTTTACAGTAACTTAAATGTGTTCCCATCAGTACCAGCTGGTCCACGCCACACCGGGCTGTGCTTCCTGATCCAGCTCAGGCAGGATTATCTGCATCTCTGACCTGATCTGACAGCACTGGTGGAAAACAKCACTCTGCAGTGGCGTGTACGTCAGCGTTTGATAAAAAACTGGATTTTACTGAGCTGCAGCTGTTTCACACTAGTTTGTGAACGATGTTAAAACCTCAAATCTTTTGATCGCAGTTCTTCATTTTCTCTCGAATCAAAGAGTCTCAGTCTAGCTGCTTGAACTCTGAGCGTTAAAAGAAATTTGTGCAACAATTTCTGCAAACAGAGATTTGTTGGGGCATCCCCCGTTGGTCTGAAGAGAGTGGAAGTGTTTGTAGAGACCTCATAAAGAAGCTTTCCTCTCATTGAAAACATATTGAGATCTGAAACCTGCACCAGTGATAAATTATTAAAAACTGTTCTTWATCTTAACTCCTACAGTGTACTATGGTACATTCTTTCATAAGAGTGGAGGAGGCTGCTAAAGTGGGCAAGAAAATAATAAACATGGACTCACAATMCAGTTCTTAGCTGTTAGAACAGAAACCATCCAAAGTTTCAGACCCAAAGGTCCAGCTGAGCCAGTTTACACCGAGTTATAAGAACTCATCCTAATCTGCCTAAATTCATTTCTAAAGTGTACTTTATCATCATCATCATCATCATCATCATCATCATCATCATCATCATCATCACAATGCAAAAAATGTCCACCTAACCAAGTTTTTTTAGTTTCGAGGCAGATGGTCTCCTGTCCTGAGCCTGGTTCTGCTGGAGGTTTCTTCCTGATTAGCAGGGAGTTTTTCCTCTCTGTGATGAAGTGATTCAACACAATCTGCTGATTTCTTCTTTACATTGTTCTTTTTATGCAAAGTGTCCTGAGACAACGTATGTTGTGACTTGGCGCTATATAAATAAACTTGAACACAAAATCTTACATCAGCCAAAAAGTCTTTTTGATCTTGTTTTGAGACTGATTTACTAAACAAGAACTGATTGTGTAAGAA